TCTCCCACTCCCCCTGTTTGTGTTCCCTCTCTCGCTGTGTCTCTCTCTGTCAAATAAATAAATTTTAAAAAAAAGAAAGAAAGAAAGAAAGAACTTTTGAGCGAAAATGTTCAAAATCAAATTAGGTCTGTAATGTAGCTAAAAGTATCACATCGATGTTAATTCTCTAGTTTCAATAATGGCACTATGGTTATGTAGGCTGCTAAAATTAAGGGAGGCTGGGTAAGGGGTGAATGGAACTTTCTGTACTATTTTACAACTTTTCTGTAAATCTCAAATTATTTCAACATAAAAAGCTTAAAAACTTTTATTTAAACAGCTATTTCTAAAGTTATTTTTCTCTGAAGGTAAGTTGTGGATTCCTTCTTTGCCTTATAGGTTGCTAACAAAATACTATGAAAAGCAGCAACCCCGTGACATCACAGCGCATTGCCTTGCAAACCTCAGGTTTTAACATTTTCCTTGTCACAGCTCCTTAGTTATATACACTTTGGCCAGCAGGTGGCAGGACTTAACCAGGTTCTTTTCCACAAAACTCCGGAAGAAGCCTGAGATTGCAAAGAGAGGTGGAACAATGACACCTCCCCAACCCAGGAGCTGAAGGTAACAATGTCATTATTCGATCGATGTACCGTCACTATAGGGAGATGTCATTTTTATGGGCACTTAAGTGATGCGGCAGGGAGGAAAGAATTGGTAAACAGTGATGTAAGGCTTGGAGGCAAAATTACCCACCCCGCCCTATCCCCACCCTGCCCCCACCCCCAGCCTGGGGCATCAAGGAGGAGCCCTGGGCTCTGCTTCCACTGGGTGCTAATGCCACACTGTTGAAAGAATAACAAAGGATGACTTGCAAATTTTTTTAAACTTTTAAAGAATGAATTACAAAGAAGCGATAAATTATCAATATTATAAGAAGTTTAATAATTTTTAAATATGACTATCAGCAATTTGGGGGGGGAGGGGAGGAATTGTAGACCTCGAAGAAACTCCACATGGTTCTCTCTCTCTCCTTTCCTCTGTCTTCTCACCCCAGAACTGCTCCCATCAAAGTCTGAGGTCCGACGCCCTGATCGCAGCCATCTTTGCGAGTTGCTGAGCCCCAGGGAGAAATGTTTAAAACACCACAGCCAGCAAGTGCCAGAGCTAGGACATAAAGCCAAGACTTTGGATAAGGCCAGTCCTTCCACGGAACAGAAACCAGGTCTGAGCTCCTGCCTTTTTTTTTTTAATCTGCAAGTGAGCGGGTTCAAAGGTAACAGGGATCCGGGATGATTTCTGGCGTGATGCGCACCAAGGATTCCCTGATGAAGGTAAGCTGTGCTCAGCTGAACCCTCCCCCCAACGGTTCAGGCGTATAAAATGTGTATTGTAATGTTTTATATTCTGAGTTTCTTAGAGTGAGGACTTTTGTTCCTCGTTCCACTACCCCACCCACCTAACTTTTCTTTCCTCCATTGAAGTGGGAGGGAGGATAATGGTTGTGAAATGTAAAATCCAAAGCTTCTAACCAGAGCTTCCTGCTACTTCTGAAGCTTCTCCCAGAGTGACCTCAATCACTAGGCCTGAAACCAAACAAACAAAAAAAGAAATCTATTTAAAGATATCCTTTCTACCACTTCTAATCCATAGCCTACTGCTAATGGACAGATGGGCATTGTGGTGTCTGCTCAGAGAGCTCCCCAGCAACATTAAAGGACTCAGTTAACACTCACGGCCTGGCACCCTCAGACATCCCTTCCCCTTTCCCGCCCTCCTAGCCCATTCAGCAAAGCAGGAGATCGGATGTGTAGAAGGACATGGCCTTCAGAATCAGCCAGACCCAGCAGGGCTCCCTGGTGCCAGGCTTGAGTGATAGTAGGACTGACGGAGATGAGCTTAAAGAGCCCCAACAGGAGCTGTTCCTGAGTTTCTGGCAGAGGCCCAGCTTGGGGGGCGGGGGGGCACTACAGGCAGCTATTAACTGTGGGAGCCACAAAGCCAATCCAAACCAGCCAGCCCAGGGACCCACTGGATTTACATCTGTCTTCCCTCCCAACCCAGAGTCTTTGCCGTTCATCTTGACCCACAGTATACCAGGGTAGACCTTTCGTGCAGCTTGCAGCCACTTCCCACATCTGCAGCTGAATGTGACAGGATGTGGGTAAGAAGGCTTAAGTACTGTGATGCAAGAACCCGGGGCTTTACATAACACAGCACCGCTCAGCTGACGGTGCAAAACTTCATACAAGAATTCATTGCTCACAAAGAAGCAACTCGAGAAAGATGTGCATGGCTGTAAACATTTTGATTTGCTGTAATTTCCTCCCCACACACCTCCCCCTTCCCCCCCACCATTGTCAATGATGACACTTGGTTTTGACCAGAAGGAAAATAAAAATGTAGCACAGCCCTGTACCCTACCCTGATCTGGTAACCTTCATTTTAAGAACTCAAAAGTTTGGCGGGGGTGGGTGATGACAGTTTGTTTTTTTAACTTCGGGCTACATCTTTTTAAAATAAGAACTTTTTTTTATAGTCAAAATAACATTTTCTCATTGAACCAAATTAAATTACGTAATTATATGCCCTAATATACAATTCCCAGTTAGAATTCAAATTTCTCAAATTGTCAAAAATGTTCTTTATAGTGTTCGTCTAAAGTGGACCCCAGGGGCACCTGGCTGGCTCAGTCAGTAGAGCATGCGACCCTTGCTCTCCGGGTTTGAGTTCGAGGCACACGCTGGGTGTAGAGATTACTTTAAAATCTCTTTAAAAAAATAAATAAGTAAACTAGGCTCCAATAGCAGGACCACGCATCACACCTGTTTTTTATGTCCCTACTCTCTTAATCTACAACATTCCCTTTTCTCATGCTACTGACTCCTTGGAGACTAGGGATCAGTTGATGAGTAGAATACCTGCCGGCTGGGTGCATCTGATGGCTTCTTCCAGATGGGGCTTAGCTTGTTTCTCTATTCCTTAAGTTTACTATAACTGGTATGTTAGATCTAAAACAGAGATTCGGGTTAAACATTTTTAAAGTGCCAGAATTCTCCGTATGTTTTATAAAATGGAGAAAGTGTCTCACGGAAAGGCTGAATGACATGAAGGACAATGACATACAGTATCGCACACGTATCAACCAGTACTGCTCAATTAGACCACACTTATCTTAGTCTCACGAAACCCAAAACCTACTTACTTATTCATTATATGGACCGGAGTTTACTTATAATTCTACCTTTGGAATCTCATAAGTCACAAATATGTGCTCTGACATGGCTTGGAAGAAATCCCCATAAAAGAAATTAGGATATTTAAATTTTTTGTGGGAAACACCTCTGTTTTTTTCCTTGGGGGGGTAGGTCTGTTTCTACCTTCTGAAGCTCAGCACTACCCTGCCCCCACTGCTCGTTCTGATCCCAGTCTGTCTACTTCGCACCTGCTCTGCCTGGTCCTTCCCTCGGCCCTAACCCCATAAGTGACAAATCAAGAGTAGCAACAGCAAATCCAAGTAGAAGATGGGACTTTTAAAGTTTTACCTCGTTGTCAAAGTTTACAAGAGCCCCTAGTTTCAAAACTTAATTTACCCCAAATTCTAAATATTTTACCATGCTTTGCGGAATAAAGAATTTGTTCTATGAACATGCGTCCTCCTCAAACAAGCCACCTTAAAGTGATCGCAGCTATTTCTTCTGTTCAAAGAAATGTGGAACCTCTGGATCATCTTTTTTTTTCCCCTAAGTTTTATTTATTTAAGTAATCTCTATGTCCAGTGTGGTGCTTGACCTCACAACCCTGAGGTGTGAGGTCAAGAGTCACATGCTCTTCTAGATGAGCCAGCCAGGTGCCCCAGCCTCCAGATCATCTTAAGACACGTTAGCTTTGGCCTGTTATTAGGATCATGGAACACTGAGCAGCACCTGGGAAGGATATGCTACATCTCCAAGTGCTAAGTTACCCTCAGAATAAATTAAATTAAAGAAAATAAATTAGGGGTGCCTGGGTGGCTCAGTCATTAAGCATCTGCCTTCGGCTCAGGTCATGGTCCCAGGGTCCTGGGATCGAGCCCCTCATCGGGCTCCCTGCTCCGCGGGAAGCCTGCTTCTCCCTCTCCC